TACGCAGTGGATTTTTTCAACGCGACGACCCGGATTAAGGAGGTCTGCCCGGGCGCGAAGATCTCGGGCGGCGTGTCAAACATCTCGTTCTCGTTCCGAGGGAACGAGCCGGTGCGCCGCGCGTTCCACTCGGTCTTCCTGTACCATGCGATCAAAGCCGGGATGGACATGGGGATTGTCAATGCGGGGCAGATTGATATCTATGATGATATTCCCAAGGAGCTGTTAGATCATGTGGAAGATTGCGTGCTGAATCGACGGCCGGATGCGACCGAGAGGATGCTGGAGCTAGCGGCGAGATTGGACCCGAAGGCGGGCGGCGGAGTGGATAAGTCGGAGAAGGACGCGTGGAGGGAGCTGCCGGTGGAGAAGCGGTTAGCGCACTCGCTTGTAAAGGGGATAGACCAGTACGTGGTGGGGGATGTGGAGGAGGCGAGGACGTGTGGGCTGTATGTGCGGCCGCTGCACATCATTGAAGGGCCGCTCATGGATGGCATGAACGTGGTGGGCGATTTGTTCGGCGCTGGCAAGATGTTCCTCCCCCAGGTGAGCCCGGTTTTCCCTGGTGAACCCACCTCAATCCCTGGGTGAAACTGTGCGTTTTCGTGTTTGGGACTGGTGTAAGTGCACATCATTGAAGGGCCGGTCATGGATGGCATGAACGTCGTGGGAGACTTGTTTGGCGCTGGCAAGATGTTCCTCCCCCAGGTGAGCCTGCCTTGATCCCTGGGTCAGCCTGCCTGCCCCCCCCAGGTGAGCCTGCGTTGATCCCTGGGTCAGCCTGCCTGCCCCCCCCAGGTCAGCCTGCCTTGATCCCTGGGTCAGCCTGCCTGCCCCCCCCAGGTCAGCCTGCCTTGATCCCTGGGTCAGCCTGCCTGCCCCCCCCAGGTCAGCCTGCCTTGACCTCCGGGTGAGTTTGTCTCCCCAAATGAGCCTTCTGGTGAAACTGCCTCCCCCAGGTGAGTGTGTATTTCTTTTCCAGGTGAGTGACTGCTGATATTGCTTGAGGTTGGGGTAAGAGCGTTGCGCTTTCCAGACTCCTCACACTCCTCGCTCTCCTGTGCTTCCTCCTCCTGGCTTATGTGAAGCTGGTTACGAGTTCCCGCCACACCTAACCCTCTCACAACCCCCTCCCCTCCCTGCCCACCCGCCCTCACCTCCCCACCCTCCCCACCCGCCCTCACCTCCTCACCCTCCTCACCCTCCCCACCCTCCCCCACCCCACAGGTGATCAAGAGCGCGCGTGTGATGAAGCGAGCCGTGGCGCATCTCATTCCGTTCATGGAGAAGGAGAGGGAGGAGGCCCGCCTCGCCAACCCCTAAATCAACCTCTAACACGCCTCAAACCCCCACCCCTCCGCTCCCACACCTGACCCCCTCCCTCTCCCCCTTCTCCTCAGGTGATCAAGAGCGCGCATGTGATGAAGCGTGCCGTGGCCCATCTCATCCCCTTCATGGAGAAGTAGAAGGAGGAGGCTCGTCTCGCCAACCCCGAGATCGAGCAGGCCGCCAACGCCGGCACCGTCGTCATCGCCACCGTCAAGGGAGACGTGCACGCCACTCCCCAGCCTCCCCACCCTTCTGATCCTCCCCGTTCCCGTCCCCCCTACCTCCTTCTCCCCACACCCTCTTCTCCCACAGGTGATCAAGAGCGCGCGTGTGATGAAGCGTGCTGTAGCACATCTGATTCCGTTCATGGAGAAGGAGAAGGAGGAGGCCCGCCTCGCCAACCCCGAGATCGAGCAAGCCGCCAACGCCGGCACCGTCGTCATCGCCACCGTCAAGGGCGACGTGCATGACATCGGGAAGAACATCGTTGCAGTGGTGCTCGGGTGTAACAACTACAAGGTGGTAGATATGGGTGTCATGGTCCCGTGCGCTAAGATTTTGGACGCGTGCCGGGAGCACAAGGCCGATGTGGTGGGTTTGTCGGGGCTAATTACCCCGTCGCTGGATGAGATGGTGACGGTGGCAAAGGAGTTGGAGAGGGAGGGGTTTAAGATCCCGCTGCTGATTGGTGGAGCCACGACCAGTCGCATGCACACAGCTGTCAAGATCGAGCCGGTGTACAGCGGGCCTACTATTCATGTTTTGGACGCTTCCCGCAGCGTCCCGGTAGTTTCCAGCCTGCTCGATCCGACGGCCATGGTTGACTTTGTGACGGACGTCCGGGAGACGTACGCAGAGCTTCGGGAGGAGCACTATGCTGGGCTGCAGGATCGGAAGTACGTGCCTATCAACAAGGCTCGGGACATGAAGTTCCAGATCGACTGGAAGCTTCCGGAGAACCTTCCTGTGGTCCCGAACGTGTTGGGGAAGAAGGTGTATAAGGATTATCCAATCAATGAAGAGTTGCTGGCAGCCATTGATTGGAATCCGTTCTTCCAGGTGTGGCAACTGAGGGGCCGTTACCCCAACCGCGGTTACCCGAAAATTTTCAACGACGAGACGGTCGGGGAGGAGGCGAAGAAACTTTTCGACGACGCGCAGGCGATGCTACGGGACATTGTGGAGAACAAGAAGCTGACCGTGCGGGGCGTTGTCGGGATTTACCCTGCAAATACTGTGGGCGACGACATCGTGCTTTATAAGGATGAGTCAAGGAGCGTGGTGGTTGAGACTATGCACACGCTGCGTCAGCAGGCTGAGAAGGAGGAGAATGACGACCCGTACCTGGCTTTATCTGATTTCATCGCCCCGGCAACCTCGGGCATCAAGGATTACCTCGGAATGTTTGTGGTGTCTTCCGGTTTTGGACTCGATGAAATGGTGAAGAAATTCAAGGATGATAACGATGATTTCAGCTATATCATGGCCGAGGCTATCGCGGATCGTCTCGCCGAAGCTGCGGCGGAGGTTCTCCACCGGGACGTTCGGAAGGAGGTGTGGGGGTACGCCAAGGAGGAGAACCTGAGTGTAGACGAGCTGCTGAAGGTGAAATACCAGGGTATTCGACCTGCCCCGGGGTACCCCAGTCAGCCGGATCACACTGAGAAGCCGGTCATGTGGAGGCTTATGGATGTGGAGGAGGAGACGGGGATTCAGCTCACTGAATCCATGGCTATGCTGCCCGCTGCTTCGGTTTCTGGCCTGATTTTTGCGGCGCCCAAGAGTCACTATTTTGCAGTTGGGAAGATCTTGGGGGATCAGGTTGGGGATTATGCGCAGAGGAAGGGCATGCCGCTTGCCGACGCTGAGAAGTGGCTTGGGCCGATGCTGAATTACGAGCCGTAGAGGGTGGTTCGGCAGGGTGAATTCGGCCGGGCTGTTCGAGGGATTGGCGGGTGGGTGGTAGTTGCTTTTGGTGAAAGGTTAGCAGGCAGAAGTGTCAGGGGGGGTAAGTATGCATGGATGGATAAAGCGCAAGTGTGGCTGTGCAGTGCAGTAGGATGACTGAGCTGGTTCCCCGTCTTGCCTCTGACTACAGTGGTCATTATGTAGTTTGCTTACGTTGCTAAAGTGCATATTCTAGAAAGAGTATCCAGCCCTAGTTGGCTGTCAAGTCAGCCCTGGATCAAGAAACCACACGTCCTGAAAATAATCTGAGGTGTAAAGTAAACACATTTTTTACAATACACTGGTCACTGAGGTAACTTTACAATACACTCCCTAACTGCAATCTGAGGTGACTGGGGCTCTCGATGGGGGAAAGGGAAGATCGCCGTGGGAGCGAGTAGGGTAGGGTGCTGCTGGCAGGTGGACCATTCTACCGAACAAGGCCATTCATGCGGTCTCACGGGAATCTGTTCTCGAGATTTCCCTGAATGAAATTATTCGACGGCACAATTCAACGGTATTTTCTAAGGCTCGTCCCTTTGTCTTCGTCTCTCCTCAGCTGTTCCCAAGCAAGCGGGGAATCGAGCATGAGCATCGCGTCGATTGAGCTATGGGAGAAGCGTGGCTCGTATTCATGCTTTCTCCGCAACTTTCATCCAAGGCAGGCATGCTATCATCGAGCGATTTCTTGAAATTCGCGATTAATTTCTCTCGCAATAATCAGAGCAACTCAGATTGACCTAAACCTGGTACGCTAGCTCATATCCATCATCGCCTCTCCTCCGCGGTTGTCCCTGGTGGTAGTACTCTGCACGGCATTATAATCAACTGGCGGCACTAGCATGATCATCCCCGAGTCGCATGTCGTAGTATGCGTTGCGGTTAGATCGTGTGCGGTGCCTGTCGGATTATGCGTTGCGGTTAAATTACGTCCGGCTCCCGTCAGATGGCACGCTCCGCCGGCTTGCGCGCCGGCGAACGGTTCGAGCAGAAGCGTCGATTGCCCGAATTCGAACCCTAATTCGCCGAATTGGCAGGCGTCGCTGCCGGGTATCTGAAGCTCGGCGTCCAGTGCAAAGGATATGTCGATGTCAGCAGTTGTGACGGGATCGAAGGCATTGGGCGGCGCCTCACCGTCAGTAGCACCCTCATCTCCGTTACTAGGAGCGGTGCTGGCAGCACCGTCAGCCCCGTTAGAAGCACCGTCAGCCCGTTTAAAAGCACCGTCAACTGCGCCATTAACAGCATCGTCAACAGCACCGTCAGCAGCCGCATCATGGGTAGCAGTTACGGGTTTCAGCGGCGTTTGATACGTCCCTAGTACTACGTTAGCCGGAATCCCGCATCCAACGGCAGGAATCCCGCATCCAACGGCAGGAATCCCGCATCCAACGGCCGGAATCGCAGGAATCATGCACCCCTCAGGCAGCAGTAGCGCTGCGGCTGGTGCACCACCCGCTACGGCTCCTCCCTGTACCCTGTTCCAGGCACCGGCACCAACAGCAGCACCGGCACCAACAGCAGCACCGGCACCAACAGCAGCACCGGCAGCAGCAGCACCAGAAGCTCCATGCTCCTCCTCCGTTCTCCGCCTCAGCTTCCGGGTAGGCTCCCTTCGGCTACTGCCACCGCCGCCGTTATAATCACCATCTTCAGAGTCACCAGTGGAGGTGATACAAGCTAAATGATCCGCACTGAACGACTTGAACCTCTTGCACCCGTCAATGCTTCGAGCCTCAGCCTTGGGCGCCGGGCTGTTGCCAGTCCTCGTCTCCTCGGGATCACCACCCTGCCTTTCCTCTGCAGCGTCGACCCAAGTGCTGGTTACCGCGTTACTGGTTACCCACTTGTTGGTTACCAGACGGCTGGCGAAGGCAGCCCCCTCCCTGCTGCTCGCACCGCTGCTGGTTACCCTGTTACCGTCAGTTCCAGCAGTGGCAGCAAAAGCGAGGGCGCGTTTATACTGATCGCCGAACGTGAACGATCTGCTGGCTGCTGGTACCAGCCGCACCAGGCGAGGTGTGACAGCTGGCAGCTCGTTATAGTCACACGCCTGTACCGTTCCCGTGCCCCCAGCCGGGCTCGTGCCATGCCCGTTATAGTCACAGGCCATGCTCCCTACGCCCCCAGTGCCACTTTCGCTGTTACGCTCCTTCATGTGCCCCCTGATGTAGTCACTTTTATGCCAAAGCTCTGCCGAACCTCCGAGCTCTCCCAAGCCTCCAAGCGCTGCCGAGCCTTGCGGGTCCGTTGGGGAAGAGAGAGGGGAGAGTGGGCGCTGGTGCGACGGAAGTTGTTGTGACTGTAGCGAAAGCATTCGGTGTGATTGTGGCAAAAGGAGCCGGCGTGATTGCGGCGAAGAGAGCTTGTGTGGACTGTTGCGTGGAGGCGTTGCAGCGAGCGTGGCAGGCGGGGGAGTAGGAGGATCATGGGCAGCAGGGGCGGACGGATAAGAGGACTGGCGAAGGGACGGGGCGGACTTTTGAGTTGACTGAGGAGTGAGAGCAGAAGGGGGGTGAGCGGAGGGTGGAGACTGGAGGATGGACGGGGGAGTGGGAGGCAAGGGCCGCGTGTGAGCTGGCCCAAAAAAGGCGGGAGCGGAAGCGGATAAGGTTGGGCGCTGAAGTGTGTGAAACGGAGGAGGTGTGGTGTAAGCGTGCGGGGACCAGGGGTACGGACGAGTGGGGAGGAGCGGGGAGTGTAGCTGTGATGGTGCTTCAAAGGAATGTGAGATCTGCTGTGCGGGTGCTTCAAACGAGGATGAGAGCAGCTGCGGAGGTGCTTCAAACGAGGCCTGGGCGGATGGGCATGCTGCTGTGTCCGCCAGAGCAGGGGGGTAGGGGAACTGAAACGAGTGAGGAAGAATGGGGATGTTTGGCCGCTGATTTTTGCCAGAGCTTTGCAGTTGGGGATTTTGGGGTTGGGGTGTTGGGAGGGAGGGCGAGGCTTGTTGGGAAGGGGAAGAGGCGGAAGAGTGGTTGGGGAAGGAGATTGAGGAGTACGAATGGGTTAGCAATGGGTAGGAGTGGGCTAGAGGCGAGTGAGGGTGGTGCAGGGGTGAGTGAGCGTGGTCAATGGGAGACACTGGGAGGGAGTGGGGGGCACGCTGTACACCCTCTGAACTCAACTTGCTCCCCTGTGACTGGGGGGATGGGTGGTGCTGCTGGTGTTGCTGGCGCTGCTGGTATTGCTGGTGGTGCTGGTGTTGGTACTGCTGGTGGGGGTGCTGCAGGGTTGGGCGGGGCGGAATCTCGAGAGAAGGAAGTGGGTGGGAGAGGAGGGCCTCTCGCATCACAGAGGGGAGCGCCTGGGGCTGCTGCTGCTGCTGCTGGTTCCTCTGCTGCTGTTGAGTTTCTTGCTCCTTCTGCTTCAATTCCAGTTGCTTCTGCAGCTGCTGAAGCCGCCGCCATTGCTGCTTCAGCTGCTGCTGCATCTCCTGATCCTTCAACCACTGCTCGTTCCCAAGCTTCCCTCCCCTCAACTGGCTTGCGTGTTCGCTCTGAGCCACCTCCAGCTGCTGCTGCAGCAGCTGCAGCCGCTGTTGCAACTGCTGCTGGTTCTGCTGCAGCAGCAGCTGCTGCTGCTGCTGCTGGTTCTGCTGCTGCTGCTGCTGCTGCTGCTGCTGCTGCTGCTGCTGCTGCTGCTGCTGCTGCTGCTGCTGCTGCTGCTGCTGCTGCTGCTGCTGCTGCTGCTGCTGCTGCTGCTGCTGCTGCTGCTGCTGCTGCTGCTGCTGCTGCTGCATCGCTTGGTCTCCATCCGATTGGGAATTTTCATGCTTCTCTCCCCTCCACTGGCTTGCCTCCTCGCTCTGTGCCACCTCCAGCTGCTGCTGCAGCTGCTGCAGCCGCTGCTGGTTCTGCTGCCGCGCCTGTAGCTGCTGCAGCTCCAGTAGCTGCTGCTTTAGCAGTGCCTTCTGCTGCTGCTGTTGCTGTTGCTGCTGTTGCTGGGTTTGCTGCTGTTGCCGCTGTTGTTGCTGCTCCTCGTCCTGCCGCTGCTGCTGCTGAAGCAGGAGCAGCTGTTGGTTAATCACTCCCAACTGGGGGACAGCAGAATCACCCCGCTGCTCTGCCGTGTGAGAGGCTTCACGCACCATCGGACCTGGTTGATTCGTGACGTGGCTCACGTCTTGGTTCGTTACCTTGTCAGTGCTTCGACAGGGAGCCCCCGAGCTTGTTTGAAAGTCGCCGAAGCTCCGCTTGTTCCTCCAACCAGCACTTTCGCCGAGGCTCCGCTGTTCAATGACACAGGCAGCGCCTCCAGCAAGCGATGGGACCATGGCACCTGCGGCAAGGGTTTTCATCGCTGATCCTGTCCGCTGATCCTGTGGCGTCGCAGAAATCAACGGCAAGAAAGCACCCGATGGAACGGTGGTATCTGCTTGGGATCCTGCCGGATTTTGCGAGGACCCAAAAACCATCGAATTGCTGCCGGTTTGGTCAGCAGTAAAACGTGCAGCAGCAGCAGCATTGGTAGTATCGGGAGCAGCACCGGTGGTATCAGCACGCAATCGTGAAGCGTGGCGAGCCAGAATCGTTGCAAGAGGGGGGAAGCTTCCTCCCACTGAAGGGAACGCAGACGACGCCAGTGTTGCAGATGTTGCCTGCCCGAAAAAAGGTGACTGCCTGAAAAATGTTGACTGCCCGGCGAACGCTGACTGCTCGGCGAACGCTGACTGCCCGGAAAATGGCGTCTGCGCGGAAAATGTCCCGGAAAACCCTGAGTGTGTGTGGAGCAGGGTTGCTGAGGAGGCAGAGAGTTGGTGGGAAGGCGGACTGTACACAGGGCCAAATGCGGCAGAGCGAGCAGCAGGGAGCGCAGCAGGGCGAGCAGAGGGGAGAGCCGAAGTCCTGGCAGCAGCAGCAGCAGCAGCAGCAGCAGCGGCGGCGGCGGCGGCGGCAGCAGCGGCATTACCAGGGACCAGCGAGGGAAGTCCATCCGGCTGAAGAATTCGCCCTCCTCCCCCTCCCCCTCCTCCTCTTCCACTGCCGGGACCAATGCGAGAGTGGTGGTTCAATGCACCGATACTGCTCCCACCAGCGCCCAAAGCACCCTCAAGAGCAGCGCTCCCCAAGCTGCTTGCACCAGCGTTCAGGGCTGAAACGGTGAGTGAGATGTTGTCCTGCAACTCAGGCCAATCCCTGGGCTCTCCCAGACCCAGGAACAGCCACTCGCATGCTGCTAGTGACAGGTGGCCGTACGTCATTGGTTCTGCCACCGCTGCTGGTGCTTGAGGTGGTGGTGCGTCAGGTGGTGCTTCAGGTGGTGCTTCAGGCGCTTCAGCAGATTCGCCTGCTCCTCCTGAATTCGCTGGATTCTCGTGGTCGCTTCGCTGGCTGACGCTCTCTGCCGCCCGTCCGCTTGTTGACGAGCCTTTCTTGTCTTGCGTGGGACTTCCAGGCCTCTCTCCGGAGCAGCGTTTTCCCCTTCCCTCTTGCCAGCGCCGGTGAGACTCGGTGAATTTCCTGCATGGAGGGAGAATTGAAGGAAGACAAGGCGAGGTTTCAATATGAGTCCTGGAAGGGTCTCTTAGGGGTTTAGGTGAGGTTGGAGGCAGGCGGGGGAAGGGACGGAGCAGGAAAGAGCTGGGATATCCTTGTGGTTGGAATTGGACAAGCGTCTACCATTATGCATTTGGGTGTGATGGAGGGAGAGAAGCTTTGAGGGGGAGCAGGGGAACATGCGGCTCACTTCTTGAGGAAGAGGAAGCGGTTACAGCAGGACTTGTTGTCTCGGTGCGGCAGCAGAGAGCTCTTCTCCAGCGCGCCCCACTGCCGCGTGCCGTAGCGCAGCGCGTGACGCAGTAGCATCGCGTCCTCCTGGGAGAGTGGGAAGGGGGGGAAGGGCGGTGTGGGACGGAAGGAGGGAGGAGGGGATAGGGTCGTGAGGGGGAACAGGGAACAGAGAAGAACGCGGAGAATGCGGCAGCAAGCAGCTCTTCTCGACTCACTGCCTCGTGCCGTAGTGCAGTGCGTGGTGCAGTAGCATCGCGTCCTCCTGAGAGAGAAGAGGAAGGAGGTTACAGCGGGTCGTGAGGGAGGACAGGGAAGTGCGCGGGGAATGCGGCAGCAGGCAGCTTTTCTCGAGAGCGCGCCCCACTGAAAGGGAGGGAGCTCGCGGAGCAAGGGACTTGGGGGATTTTTTTGTCACGGAGCAGGGGATTTGGGGATAAGAAGCTCGTAGCGACCTCTACAAGTAAGAGAGGCAACTTATGAATCATCATGGAGTGGGTAGAAGAGGGAAAAGAGCCATCGTTCCCCATAAAACTTGCTAGCTTTTCAAGAACAAGGACGCCAGCAGAACCCGGAGCAACAGCAGTGCTGCTTTTTAGCAATCTCGTGGGGGTACTATTGAAGAATAAAAATGGTAGGGCTAGAAGTCAGTAAAGGTACCTGTTTGGACCACATTCTAGTTGATTGCATGGAAAGATCTGCCGCTGCCGCGGCGCGCAGGTCGTCTTCTCCCGCTCGGAAACAGCCCGTTTGCGGAGAATATGGATAACCTATCTCGCGAATGGTAAGCGGTTTTCGTAGGCAAGAAGCAGAGTCAGGTCAAGTGACCTCGTCGTGACTACTAGTTGATGCGAGATCTGATGCTCGTGGAAATGAAACTCTACAATGGAGGGCGAACAAGAATGGCAGTAAGGTACGATTCTGATATGTGAGGAGCCATCAGGTTCAGCGCGATATCGCAGTGTGTGCGATTTATTGCGACAGCTGTAGGTTATTTTACCGCCTGGACGATTCATCGAGGGAGTCTGGTCGGTCACCCACAAGTTGGCCACCAATGACGATTTGGGTTGTCAACATCTCGTCCTCCTCCCCTTCATCCATGTTGAATCGTCCAATGTTGTTGCAGGTCATGAGGTGGAATTGTTTCGGGGAATCATATGATCAGATTTGATTTCAACTACAGTATTTTCATACATTGAGCCAAGACCGCAGAAAGAATGCAGGGACATTACAATCTGTATGCCCTTTTTCTGAACGTGGAATTATTAGATCCCATTTAATTCCCAAACGAGTCCAGGTTCGTTCATTGGGTATGAGCTCATACATTATCCATCCAGACCGAGTTGCAGCAATTGGTGGTTCAAAATTTTCAAAAGTTCCCTGAAAGCACGAGTGTTGTTGCGCTGGCACACACCAGGTTCTTTGTGCAGTTCACACGGTCACAGCACCTGCGTGTCCATGATTGCTAGCAACCTGCAGTTCGGGACGGCGCGTCATCGACAACTGTTGGCCTCATTGATTCACCACGACCGAGAAGAAGCTGTACATTGCACTTCAGGGGCAGCTTGGAGGTGTACCCAAACCACAAAGCTGAAAGCGAGAGTTTGAGCTGTAAGTGGTGGGGAGACGTGGCACGATGCTTAGGCATTTGTTGAATCCGTCTGGGAGTGTTGTGTACAGTAAATTGTGGAAGTGTTGCTCTACAGTACTCCGCTAGCAGACTGGGTGGCACACACATTGGCAACTTGGCCTTGAAGGAAGCTCAGTGGCCAGTCATGTGATGTGATGTGAGTGAACGTGAAAGGCCGCTGCTGGCAACCTCGCGCTTCTCGAAGCTGACCAAAATTGCTGACCTGTACTCAGTGGGTGAATTGACTTGTTGGGCCTCGAATGCCGAAGAAGTGTTCGGAAATTCCCGATTGATTGTGGGGATTGCATTATATCGAGAAAGAAAAAGGGAATGAAGACGTACAACCACTGACTGATATATTTAATTCATACTTCCATTAGCATTCCAAGTGAGAAGTTTTTCTTCTGCAAATCCTTCGAAAACGTGTGGCCTGCCCGCAATCAAGCCTGTGAGATATTCCTAGCTGACTACAGTCGATTTTCTGTCCACCGGTTCCCTAAGTGAACAGGCTCCCACGCGTGGGAGAATCAACACAAACGCCACTTGATAAATCTGATTCCCATAAGAAAGTAATGATGACCTGGGAGTTTGCTGCCAATGATAAAGCTGTCTGGTCCACAACGCGCTTTCTTCTGATTGGTTTCTCAGCGGACCTTGTTCTGTGTGACGTACGGTACACCCTCTTTCGCGCCACACTGACATTGGGCATACTGTATTGACAAGCCGGTTGTACTGACATAAATGCGTCCAGAATGGTCCCAGAACATACCATATAAGCACATTTGCCGTACTCAACTGTACTCAAACGCAAGTTTGCTTTCATAAACTGTTTTGTACCGTTCGTTTGGAGTGCATTTGCCCGCCACCTACCTGGGGTTCAGTTGCAAGCACCTGACCGCTAGGGTCCAAGAACACGTACGCACTGTAGCCAGTGCTCCCGATTGTCAATGTGGCGCGAAAGAGGGTGTATAAGGAACTCAGAATTACGGAATGTGCAAATGACATACAACCGACAGGCTAAAAAATTGTAGGTACGGCATTAGCTGTTGGAAGACCTCAAAGGAAGTATCGGTACAATAGATTGTGAAAGCTAGTGCGTACAACAACATGGTATCAAGAATGACATCACACATGTTATCTCTTATGCGGCGATGCTTTGCGGTGCTCCGACCGTATATTTCATCGCAGCAGAGGGGTAATCAGTGCATCATGACTTCCGATTTTCACACACGGCTGACCAGAAACTGGTAAATGAGCCGCGCAAGTGCGTCAGTTCGTTTTGTGTCCTCCTGACCCAGTGGAGGGATACACAAAGAAGAGCAGAATGATTTATAGTTGCATTGGACTACCTTTAGGTCAAGTAGACCACAATCATGCAAAAAAGGGTTTAGGGTGCCAAATAAAAAACAGACATACAGTGGGTGGGTGCTTTAGTCCTAGAGCACAAGGCGGTCACGCGCATAAATACAATTCGGCGAGGCAATATGCGGGTTGGCCCTCAAAATATCTGCAACAGTACACCCCTCTCTCACTGCAATCCCAGAGAGCGTCTCACCCGGCTGCACTTCATGCACCCGGCCTCCAGCCCTCCCAAGGGAACCACCACCACTCATTGCCCTTCCTGCACCCTTAGCTGCAGCCCGTCCTGCACCCTTTCCTGCATCCGTTGCTGCATATGTGGCTGCACCTGATTGGTCACCCTTACCGCTGGTCCTAACCACACCACTCAAGGGTGTTAGCCTCGAATCACCAGCCCGGGGCGTGTGCGTTGATCCACCACCGGCCAGCAGCGCTTGGATCGACTCAGCCACCAGCTCTTCAGATATTCTGAATGCCGGTCGCCTCTGCCCTGCTGCTGCGCTTCCTGCCGTGCTTCCAACTCCCCCCCCTGCTGCTGCTGCTACAGCTGCCCCTGGTGCTACAGCCGGCCCTGCTGCTACAGCCGGCCCAGGAGCTGCAAGGGCTGACCTGGCATCGCCCCTGCTGCTGCTGGTGCTGTCCCTATTGCTGCTGCTGGCCCTCTCCTGGGTTGCTCTCCTTAAAAGGAGACCCGGCACAAGCTGCTGCTCAGATCCCTTCCTGGGAGGGCTTGAGGACTGGTGCGTACCCCTGCTGCTGCCATTGCCATTGCTAGTGCCACTGCCATAGCCCCTGCTTGATCCCTTCCTGCTGCTGCTGCTGCTGCCTCGCTCACATGCCCCGTGGCTGCTCAACCTGCTGTTGCTGCTGCTGGGGTTCCCTCGTGTCCCATTCGCACCAGTCACGTTGCTGCTGCTGTTGCTGTCTCTCCCTTGTGCAGCATTCGCACCAGTTGCATTGCTGCGGCTGCGCTCACAAGCGCCGTTTCTCCCTTGAAACGGGTCAATGGTCAAGTGGGCTTCATCAAACGGCGCCCATTTGTCAAACTCATCAGACGGACCTCTGCTCGTGCTTCCCCCAGTTAAGGTCTTTTCCTTAGGACCGGCTTCAGGCAGGGAGCGTATCCCTCTGCCTGCCGCTGCTGCCGCTGCTGCCCCACCTGCTGCCCGTCTACTTGCTGCTTCTCTCATTGCTGTTGCTGACGTTGGCACTGCTGGGTTAGTCAAACCTGGTGCTACGGCTGCTGGTCTGGTCTGAGCCACTGGGTTTGTCTGGACTGCTGAGTTGGTGTGAGTCGGGGCGGGTTTGCTGGTGACGGCAGCAATGAACGACATCATCTCCTCCTCGTCGTCATCGTTGTCTCCGTACTCGTTATAGGCAGGCCCCAGACAGCGCAAGAACTCATCCTCCACCTCCACTGCCTCCTTCTCAAGCTCCTTGAACCTGATGCCAGGGGATTGGGGGGCAGTCTCCCAAGGGTGATAACAATAGTTAGCAAGTCATTTGCTCACTCTTAGCAGAGAACAAAAATAAGACAGAACGATACCTTATTTTCTTGCAAGGAAGTTGTAAAACTGAACTCTAGCAATTCAAGGGGCTCCTTACTCTGCTCAGCACCGTTCAACACCACCTTACCTCTCATCAAACTCCTTCTCACTGAGCTTTGCACCAGTGGGCATGGAAGCCAGCCAGTGGGAAAACCCTCCCTCGGATTCCACCTTCCCAACTGCTGACTCCAAACCCGCTTCAGCTGAGCCCTTCCCCTTGCCTTTGCTCCGTGAATCACTGCTCCTCCTCCTCACATTCTCAATCTCCCGATCGCTGCTTGCTCCGGTCGATCTCAGCCGTTGATGGCGCTGAGCTGCCATCACCACCGCTCCCCCCACCAGCACCGCCGCCCCTGCTGCTGCCAGCAGCTGCCAATTTCTCGCCCCTAACCCCCTCCCCGGCTGCTCCTCCTGCTGCTGCTCTAATAAACCTAACTCCTCCTGCTGCTGCAGTTGCCCCATCCGCCCCCCTCCGCCCCTCCTCCCCATAGTGGTTGTGTCAGGGAGGGACTCCGGTTCAGATGGGTGGAAAGTGGTGGGAGGGGAGATGGAGCGCAGAGGGGAGGTGTGTGTGCGAGGGGGTGTTGGCTGTCTGGGTGTGACTGTAGCGGGTGGGACCTGTGTGGGTGGGAAGGAGAGGGATGAGGATGGGGGAGGAAGGGTAGGAAGGAGATGTGAGAGGGAGAGAAAGACGTTTTAGGAAGATATGCGCATGGCTTACCCTTTGCACCACACCGTTTGCACTGCATCACATTCCATTTGCACCAAAGTGCACGCCATCACAAACCCTCTTCACCGCAGTGCACCGCATGACATACCCTTTGCACCGCAGTAACCGAGGCCGACCTCCTCCTCCCCCGTACAGCCTCTGCTGGCCCTCCCCCCTCCCTCACCACCCACGCGGGCACCCGAGCCGGGGATCGCGACCGAAGCACTGCCTGCTGCTCCGGGCCGAGCCAAGATGGCAGGTTCGGCAAATAATCACCCCTGACGGACCTAGGAACACCAACAGGAGCACCAGCAGTAGCAACCCCGGCAGCTGCAGCACCAGCAACACCACCAGCAGCAGCAGCAGCAGCAGCTGCAGCAGCAGCAGCAGCGCTAGACGCTTGCCAGGCAGCGACAGAGGAGGAGTGGGAGAAGCGACGAGAGGGGCTGGCGGGACGAGGATAGGCCGGCGCCCACCACCGCGGAATGCTGCGATCTCCTGCTGCCCCCTGCCCGGCTGTAGCAGCTGTAGTGGCTGTAGCGGTAGTGGCAGCAATGGCACTGGTGGCAGTGGCGGCAGTAGCGGCGCTCGCAGTGGCAAGCGTGAGGGAGGAGGCAGCACTGGTGGGGGTGGCGTAGGAGCGAGTAGAGTTGAGAGAAGATGCGAGGGAGGATGCGGAGGGGAATGGGGAGAGGGGAATGAGCTGGTCCGGTTCAGGCAGGATAGAGGGGCTTAGGGAGTGCGACGCTGGGGAGGCGGAGAGGGGAGAGGCGGAGGGCGAGGGGGAAGGGGATGCGGACGGGGGAGAGGCGGAGGGCGAGGGGGAAGGGGAGGCGGAGGGGGTTGAGGGAGATTGGGGGGAGGGAAGGACTTCGCTTCGAGGGGGGTCAAAGGAGGGTGGGCAGGGTGAGGAAGCACCAGGAGCAGCGGCAGGAACAGCAGCAGGGGCAGCGGCAGCGGCAGCGACAGGAGCGGGGAGGTGAAGCGATGAGTTGAGGGGAATCAGAGGGGCAGCAACCCGCAGGGAGGGTGGTGGTGGGGGTGGTGGGGAGATAGGAACCAAGGAGGGTAGACTTGGTGACGGTGGGACTGGCTTGGGAGGGGGTACTGCTGGGGAAGGTGCAGCTGGGGAGGGTGCAACTGGGGAGGGTGCAGCTGGGGAGGGTGCAGCTGGGGAGGGTGCAACTGGGGAGGGTGCAGCTGGGGAGGGTGCAGCTGGGGAGGGTGCAACTGGGGAGGGTGCAGCTGGGGAGGGTGCATTGGATATAATAGCAGACTGGGAAATAGGGGTAGGCAGAGCAGGGGACGGCAGAGCAGGGGGAGCGGCTGCTGGGGGCGGTGGGGCAGGGGAGGGCAGAGCAGGGAGGAGTGCAGCAGGTGAGGGAAGAGCAGGGGAGGGTGCAACTGGAGGTGGTTTGGAGTGAGAGGAGGAGGAAGAGAGGGAGGGAGAGGGGGAGAGGGCGGCGGTGGTGTGTCGGATGGTTTTGGATACAGACGACATGAGCCGGTGGCGTGTCGCTGACGTGGCAGTCACCATGCTGCCGTCAAAGTCCTGAATGGGGATTGGAAGAGACGGGAAGAAGAAAGGGCGGAGGAGGGAAAACAGAGGATCTATATGCCATCGGTTCATGTCTTCCCGAGCCTTGCCTCATACTGACGCGTATTTTCACTCTTATTTAGTATTTGACTCATTGAAGTTGGTTTGACCCGCGTTGACCCGCATTGACCCGCATTGACTCGCGTTGACTCACCTTGAGGCCGATGGTGCGCTTGCTGAGCGTGCGCAGGCAGAGATACACCCGCCTCAGGTCACGCCTCTCCACCAGATCAGGTGGGGTGAAGATAACTGGTACTCATTTTACCTGCGTTGACCCACGTTGACCCGCGTTGACCCACCTTGAGTCCAATGGTGCGCTTGCTGAGTGTGCGCAGGCACAGATACACCCGCCTCAGGTCACGCCTCTCCACCAAATCAGGTGGGTGAACACATTAACGTCTCCTTTCCCTTTATTCAACTCGTTTGACCTGCGTTGACCCGCGTTGACTCACCTTGAGTCCGATGGTGCGCTTGCTGAGTGTGCGCAAGCACAGATACACCCGCCTCAGATCACGCCTCTCCACCAGATCGGGTGGGGTAAAGACATTCACGTCGTACAGCCCTATGCTGCGACAGATCTGCATGCACAGGGGGGGAGAGGGGGAGAGGGGGAGATGGGAGAAAGGGGGCGGGGGAGATGGGAGAAAGGGGGCGGGGGAGATGGGAGAAAGGGGGCGGGGGAGAAGGGGGAAGGAGGGTTTTGGCGGAAATGGGGGGGGGAGGCGGTGGGCGGAAGGGGTGGAGGATTGACCGCAATGTCACAGAGTTGCAGAGATGTGGGGAGGGAAGAAGGAAAGGGAGGGAGGGCGGGGGAAGGGGAGAGGGGAGGAGAGGGTTGTAAAAAAATGGGGGAGAATGGGCGAGGAAAAGAGAGAATGCGCTTTCCTTGTGCGACCTGCATTCCCACAGCCCTTCCCCTCCCAACTCTCTCAAACCAAACCCACTCTCCCACCCACCCCCAACTCCCCTCACTTCCCCTCACTTCCCTGTCCCCCATTCCCGTTCCCCTTTGCCCCCATCATCATCCCCCGTCTTCCCAGCCCTTCCACCCCCTCACTCCCCCCCCCCCCCCTCCTCCCCCGTTATAGTCACCTTGAGGAACATCTCCACTTTCACGCACGAGCGCCAGAACGCCATGTTCCGCCCCACCTCCGCGGACGGCGCCTCCCCCTCCCCCTGCTCCGCCTCCCCTTCCCCCTCCTCCCAGTCCTCCCCGTCCTTCAACCCCGCCCCGCTTCCGCTCTTTCCCCCGCCCCATCGCGCAAAAGATCCCCCCGCCTTCCCCCCGAGCGCCCCTCCCCCCTCTCCGCCTCCCCCCGCCTTCCCCATAATCAGCCATCCCTTGGCTGCGCGCTGCGCTGCCCGCCCCACCTCCACACTGGGGGGACGGGGGGATGGGGGGAAGGGAGCGGGAAGGGAAGGGGGAAATGGGGGGAAAAGGGGGGAAGGTGATCGGAAAGGGGAAGGCGGGAAAGCGATTAGGCGCTGCGGAATGAGGAAGAATGCCGGAGAGCAGGCGGGCGGGCGGGCGGGCGGGCGAAAGTGGATATAGACCCGAAGAAGCGGGCGAGATGAAAGCGCGAGTGAGGGGGCCGTGGGGGAAGGAGAGTGGGATGGGTGGGGGAGGGGAGGGGGGAATGTAAGATTGGGAAGGACTAAGAGCAGGACTCACAGCGTCTGCCCGTCCTCCAGAATATCGGGGAGCGCGCGGTCCGACGGAAGCTGCCGACCCAAGCAACGCTCAATCCACGCCCGAGCCTGCGACTGAGGTACGGCAGAAAGAGGCAGGGGTGGGGAGGAAGAAACCCGACTTTGCAGCTTCGGCAGCAGCCGAAGAATGGATGGAGGGAGGGGGTTGCACGGAAAGAGGGAGGGGAAAAGGACAAGACAAAAGAGGGACAAAAGAGGGACAAAAAACGAAAGGAAACGTAGAACAGAGAAGTGGAAGAGGCAGAACGGACAGAGGGCAACTGATTAACTAGCATAGAACTACGTAACCAATTGAAGCGCGCCGCGTGGCTGTGGTACCTCGAGAACGGTAACGTCCTCCTCTGCGGTCAAGCCGCCGCCCGAAGCGCTGCTCGCCGACGAGCCGACACCAGCGCTGCTTGCGGCGAGCATCGCGGCGCGAGACGGCGACCCGGCAGCGCCACTTTGTGCTGCCTCGGATGCCACCATGATCCGCGCAGGCCCGTTACTTGGGTTTATGTAACCTGCTTACGTTTGTTACTAAGTTTTTATTTACGCTGCTTACTACGCTTCTTACTGGGCTTTCATATAGGATCGTCCGTTAGGCTTGTTAATAGGCTTCTATACAAGTAATACTGCAGTCGTATTCCGCGATAAACTCTAGCCTTTCATATAGGCTTGTTGATTAGGCTTGCTACGAAGCTTCTATCTGGACTTGTTACCAATCGTATTCGGCGATCACTTTTTAGGTTTCGGCCCTCCCGACAACAAGCGGGTGCGAACGTCGCAACTACTTTTACGTAATGCGGTTCGAGCGCCCGCGGCTCGACTTGACTAAAGACGAAGCAGTGCAGCTTTTGGTACATCACAATCGTGTCACTTTCCGATTAATAAATTGCGTTGTTACATAAATAATGCTTGCTTTTGGTCGCCGCCTCCAATCTTACTGATGCGGCTTCCTACGAGATGAAACAGTGTCCTACGTAACAAGCCGCACAGCGACTAGTCTAGTAGATCTTAGGGAGAGAAGGCAAGCACAGCACAGTGCAGTATAGGGGTGTCGGGAGGGAGAGGAAGTGGAGTTGGAGATCTGCGGTGAAAACTGTCGCTAGCACTGCGAGTCTGCGACGCGGGATGAGCGTGGCTCAGCGTGGATGACCCTAAACCCTCGGGTGGCTCAGCGTGGCCTACGGCGCACAATGGGGCTCTGCGGCTGCGCTTTCTCCAGCAAGAGGCGCGGCGGCGGCTTACGTGGTGGGGGGCGATTACTATCCCCGCCCAAGGGCGAGAGAGGGGAAGTAAACACTAAAGTTCCGAGCACTTCCCTTGGTTACGGTTCCGCAAGTTTGTTTTGCGTTAACGAGCGGTTTCTAGTCATAAAAACACGGTTGAGAGAGCTGAATTTTAACATTTTGAACGCGCGAGGGGGGGTTGCCCCTAGATTGCCAAATCAGGGGGGAGTCAACCAGCAGTCGTGGCGGGGTGCGAAAGCTAAACTGGGGGAACGAGCGGAACGAAGTGAACCAAAAAGGGGAGTAAGACAGAAATTGGCGCGAAGTTCAATGCGACCCGCATATTTTCGTTTGGCTGCTGCAGCTGGCAGGAAAATGGAAGAAATTGAATAATGGAAGTGTAGCATTTCATTGTAATTCTCAAACATGGCACCTTCAGCACATTCCACGAGAAATTGTTACCGTACCAAGCCATGCTTCATGTGGGAAACAACATAGTTTCTATAACCAAGAAGAACAGCCCGCCAATTTGAAGCCAAAATTGGGCAACAGCGAGGATGCACTGACTATACCATGATCAGCTAGACCAAATGCACCAGCCTAATTCTGCAATCTTTCCTTCCTCCCCGCAGCAGCAGCGCGTCTTGAAGCCACATTTTGCACCGCCCCTGCAACCACCAGCTTCATCAGCACACCCGCCTCCACCCCACAGATGAAAGCCAAAGCAGTAGTCGCCACTACCCATCCCACCCTCACTGCTCCTGCCTTCTTCCCTCTCCTCTCCTCTCCCTGCGCATCACCCCCCACAATCGGCCCATTCCTCACTGTCACCTCGCTCCCCCGATCACAAGAATCACTCCTTTCCTGCTGGGCAGATCCGGACCGTCGCCTTCCTCTGCCGTCTCCAGATCCAACGGTTGAGCCTTCACCTGGAGACCGGGCACCAGCATTGGCTGAACCACTTGCAACCACGACTTGGCTGCTGCCTGCCCTGCCACTGCTACCTTGCTCCTCCCCCTCTGCGGCTTCATCCACAACCCTCCTTCCCTTCTCCCTCTCCTCATCCTCCTCCGCCCCTCCCCTTCTCCTCGCCTCCCCAGCCATCGCCAAATCCGAAAAGCTCACCCATTTCCTCATCCCCATCCCGCCCTTCTTCTTCAACCCTCCCTTCCTCCCCACCCCACCACTCCCCTCCCCAACCCCTCCCGCACCCTCCTCCCCATCCTCCTCCCCGTCCTGGCTACTCCCGGGCGACGGCACAATCGGCGTATGCAAATTTGCCATCGAAACACACCGGCTGAACGGCCGTGCCGCCTCCGCGCGCTGCTTCTCATACTTCCGAATCGCCGGCTCCATTTTCCTCACAGCGCTCCACATGCCCTGCCGCACGCCCAGCTTCGCTATATCCCTCTGCAGCCCCATCTCCTCGTGGTGAAACAGCATCACCTCCGCTGCGTTGCTGCCCTCGGCGCCGATCACGGGTCGGATGCGCCAGCTGGAGTAGAAGACTTCGACGCGCCGGGGTTTGTCGCGCTTGGGGACCTCGGGGTGGTGCACGCCCTTGGTGATGCAGTAGAACGTGTCGTCGTGCGACCAGATGCGCCGCGCAATCACGTACTCGCGGTCCTTGCAGAAAAACGGAAACTGCAGTACGGGGGATGGGACAGGCATGGGCAGGAGCACGGAAAGCAGGGAGGGTGGGGGGTGGGGAACAGGGGAAGGGAATGCGGGGGGAGTGAGGGAGTGGCAAGAAGGAATGCAGGGGACAAGGTGGGGCTTGGATGGAGGCTTGTCGCGCTTGGGGACCTCGGGGTGGTGCACGCCCTTGGTGATGCAGTAGAATGTGTCGTCGTGCGACCAGATGCGCCGCGCTATCACGTACTCCCGGTCCTTGCAGAAAAACGGAAACTGCAATAAGGGGGATAGGAGCAGGACAGGAATACGACCAGTGTGGGACAGGAACGAGACAGGAACGAGACCGGAGTGAGACAGGAAAGGGACAGGAGTGGGACAAGCGTGGGACAAGATCAAGATTGGGACACGAATGAAACAGGAGCAGGAGGAATGCAACAAGAGTGGAGCGAGCGGAAGGAAAACAGAGAGAGTGGGGTAGCAACGAAGCAGACGAATAGAAAAGCAATCACATTCTATCACCCATTCCCCCACTCCAAACCCTCTGTCATTTACAGCAACCCACCTTGCGGACCCAGTGCACGAATTGGACGCCGGTGCGCTCGCAGGCGGTGATTGTTTCTAAGGCGCCTCAAGAGTCACGTGCGGCAAAGACAACGGCAGCAACCCACCTTGCGGACCCAGTGCACGATTTGGAAGCCCGTGCGCTCGCAGGCGGTGATGGTGCGCGCCTGCACGAGCATGTCGTCCCACGCCGCACGGAACTCGTCGTCCCAAAAGAAGTCGCGCATGAGCGCCGACGAGCACCGCTCCATCACTGTGCGACTGCGGTACTCCGTGGGGCCTTGCTGTTGGGGGCAAGGGAGGGGGATGGGGGGCATAACGGTGAGAAAAGGAAGTGGCGGGGCGGAGTTAGAACAAGTCGCGCATGAGCGCCGATGAGCACCGCTCCATGACCGTGCGACTGCGGTACTCCGTGGGGCCTTGCTGTTGGTGGGGCGGATAGGGACCGAAGGCGGAAAAGGACGTGGCGGCGAGGAGTTAAAAAGACCGTGCATGAGCGCGCGACCTGTTCTTTCGAGAAAAAAAAGTCACTGGGGCAGTCTACTCCAGCATCGCCTATCCCCGTCATGGCGCTAACTCGTTACAGAAACAAAGTAAAAACACACCTCGGGGTCCCGTCGCCAGCCCGTGTACTGCATGCCCTTGGCGGTCTTCTCCATCATCGGCTGCCACTCCGGCCCGCCGTCCTTCCCTTCCACCTTGGCGCAAAACTCCTCCAAGTCATCCTCGGTAAGAACTAACTCCATATCCTCTTCCGATACGCTGTGCTCAGCGCCGTGCCCGTGCTTCTGCCCGTTCTCATACGCATGCCCGTTGGTGTGCCCATGCACGTTTCGGCCGACCTCTAGCAGCTGAAGGTTTCCTGTTTGCAGCGACGACGGGCGCGAGCCCTTGCACCGCGACTGCACAGACGGCCTGCGGCGATCAGGGAGAAACCATGAAATGCGAGGAGAGGGGTTAGAATACGTCGGCGGACGGACTTGCCGAGGATTACAGACGGAATTGCGGAGGCGAGGATAGAACCCGACGAAAATATTCTAAAACGAAAGAGAGGCGTGCGAGAAGGTTTGAAATGGTGAACGAGTTGAGCGGGAAAGGGACGTACTCGTCAGTCACAGCTTCCTTGCTGACAGCCTCGCCGTTCACTTGACGCTCCCGTCTGCTATCCGCAGCGCCGCTCGCGGGACCAACTACACGGTTACCGTTACGACGTTCGCCAACCTCCTCCGCACCTTCCGGCCTCCTAGCTTCAGCACCATCGCTCCCCAAAGCAACTAATTTTGATTTCCCAGAGCCACCAACCCTCTCAGCCGCCCGCCAAGGCAGCACCTTCTCGCCCAGAGAGCTCCAATCTCTCCCAAAAAGCACCCCTACCGCCTGAAACCCCGGCTCCTTAGCTCCCTTAACTCCCTCCGAAACTCCCGCTGCCGGGAATCCCGGAACCTGCACGTGACCGCACGAGTCCAATACAGCCTGGCCCCAAGACCACCCCGCAGACCACGCCTCCTTGAACGGCCCGCCGGTGAGGAGCGACAAGAAGGCGGAGGAACGCGGGTCCGACGCGAGGGAGTTGACCCACCGCGGCCGCCATGACCACCCGAGGATAAGGCCGACTACGACGGCGAGCCAGAGCGGCGCGACGACGGAGAGGAGCTCGAGCATGAGCTCCGAGGAGATAGTATGGCTCGCGCCGCTTGTGAGCATGTGGACGAGCCGACTGCTGCTGCTGCAGCTGCCAATCCCAGGAGACGCCATGTACGAGCAGGAGAACAAGTGAGATAAAGGCCTAATTCAAGTTCCCTGTGGCGTCGTGCTTGGTAGCCGATTCAGCAAACGAGTTACTTTGGCGAGCTAGCAGCGACGCAGTTGTCAGCGAACAAGAGAAAAGAACGGCTTTGGTTTTCCGTAGTCGAAGATATACGTGCATCAAGACAATTCTTCTGCCAACCCTAGTCTCAACCCAGAAGCACGTGGTCCGATCAGAGCAAGACACGCAGAGAAGTTTCTTGTGCTTGTGTGGTGTCGTGTGTTGCCAATTCCCTTCCTATGTCGTGTCACGCTGGCCGAGCTAATGGTGGAAATGAAAAGTAGTGGACTTCCTTGCAGTGCACACGAATCACCCCGTCAGCGGATCAACAGACAGCCATGGAAAACGTTCACTAGGAGTCAGCACCCATCAGAAACTGTCATCACACGCGGAAAGAAGCAAGGAAATAATCACGTCCGTGTCTCTAGGGGGGACGTCTCTTCAAGCTGGGTGAGGAGGAAGAACCAGGGCAAAGGAAACAAGTGTGACGGGGATTCACGGGGCAGCTGATAGAAAAGAGGTGAGTGGAGGTAAAGTGCAGAATACGCAAATCATGTTTCGATTTTACCAAGGTTGGATAATAACGGGCAGAGGGAAACGTTTTGCTGGCTCTCAGCCCCCCCACCCCAACTTTGCAAGTTTGGGCAGCTGGCAAGGCAAAAGCACAAGTGATGAAAATCGATTTCGTGTCGCGTTATTGAAGCTCCCAATCTCGGGGGCAGACCGCTTCCGACGGGAGCGATGGAGGCTTCCTGAAATGGATGCGAGGAAAACTCACAGCCTTCGATTCAAATACGTGGCAGTACGGACGTTCAAGATAGCTCGATTGGATTTGGGCAGGACATGGCTTTGGAACCTTGAGAATTCCAAGCCACTTAGACCTTGCTGCTGATACCATCCACCGTCAGCAGCATTCAACGGTGCTGAACGTGGACGGGCGGCTCGCAATGCGTGTGCCCCACCACCGTCAGCAACGAATCAGTATCAAGAACTGTGGATAACATACCAATCCAAATTAGCCGTCGAACTCGCCAAGGACGGCATCGACAGGGAGCAGAGCATGGCTATACTAGAAAGCCATATAATTTAGACAAAATGTTCGTTTTATGGTTAATGTGGTTATGCGTTCATGTTAGTTGTCTGAGATTGGCTGGAAGGATAGGAATGGTGAAGAGCAAGAGGTTGGTGGGTTGGGGGTCACCATGGGTTGATAAGCCGTATTTGGTAGACTTGAGTGTGTAAAGTGGTTAGAGATGATATTTGTTTTGGGGGGTTCTTAGGGGATTGGTGGAGATTGGCAGACGGCTAGAAACGAAACGTGCAATTCAGTATTTTAATAACTTGAATGAAATGTGTTTTTCACCGCTTGTTGAACCGCGTAATGTGTTTGCATGTGCAGTAGCAAAATGGTCATACAGGCCTGCTGGGACCTTATACTTTTGTTCTATCTTCTTAGGTTTTACAAACTACATTTATTTTTCCACGTACTCTCGCTTACACCTCGTAACAAGAGCCATGGAGCGGGTACGTCTAGTTGGTGGACAGCGTCGGTCCATGTAGGCGCAATTGTGGGGCTCAGCGATGTTGATGTGTGATGCGAGATAGTTGGGGAACCGTGTGAGACATGTGCCGGAACTCCTTCTTGAAACGGCACGTGTCAATACGGATGTACGAGCATCCACCTGTCCAACACTTTTCGTCACATGTACAACCCTGAGTGGACAATCTTGGGAAATTTGAAACCGTTCCTTGCTGATAGTGCAAGCTGGGCTGTGGGATGTCCACCCTGGAGCCCAACTGGAAGGCTGTAACTGGAAGGACGACGATTCGGTAAAAAGAAAGGGAATTTCTGACTTTCCCAGCCAATCCTGCAGCAGCGCGTAACGGTTCCACACGACGTTCAACTGGAACTCGTAGTTTTTTTTGCTCATCCGAGTCCGCATCACACCCAGACTTCGTGTGCCACGCAGATGCCAGCAGGAATAGTTTTTTATGCAGATTCACCGCGTGGAAGGATGGGAGGAGCGGCAAGTTGTTGGGCAGGCCACCATAGTTACGAAGCCTTTTCCAACAGCCCGTGATCTAAAAGCAGATCGTACCACTGCACTTTCCAACTGTTTCGCAGCATGAGCCTCAATGGTCCTCCTTTTTAGGGTTGTGACGCCCAAGCGTGTCAACTGTCATGCCGCTGTACGATCTACCTCCCAGCTCATCGTATCAACTCCAACTGGGTACCCGACTGTTAGGGCGTGTCCGAAGTGGATGGATGTCGCTGGATGTCGGTGAATTTCCACCCTCGGATCGAGGGTCCCAACCGTCAGGATTTACCGACATCCCCAAACGGATGTCAACGGATGTCGACGTTTCACTTCGGACACGCCCTTATGCGTTCTGGGTCCTTCGTTGTGCGGTGCCCCAGTTTTCCCCCACAAAGCGCTACGGTTCTGCGACTCAGGCTCCCCATCCCAACCGCGCCCGAGTCGGTGAGCGGTGGAACTCGGCGAAGTACAGAAAGGGGATGTGTGGCTGAACATTCCAATTCAACTTCTGCTTCCTCCATTCGTCACTATTGAGCTACTATTGTTTACCTACACGGGCTATCTCCTCCTCTCTGCGCCCATAGCCTAGCCACAGTTTCGACAAGAATAGCTTCAGCGATGCCGACCACCATATCTTCGAGCGTGGGTGTTCCCAAGCGTGACGTAGAACCATGGAGCACAAACTTCAACCTCGATTTCCACTCGCCGAAAGCCGCAAAAAGGTCGCGCCGCCTCTCCGACGCTTCGAACGACCAATTCTTCAGCGACAACGACGCCGTATCTGACTGCCTGACGGAGTTGACGTTAGGTCTTCCGGAACCTCCGGTAGTAGCTGCAGAAAAGCCGTCGCTTTCAGAATTAGGCGACGATTTGCTCCTTCACATTTTCCAGCTCGCCCAGCCCACCGCCTGGGACCTCTGTCGTATGGCTTGCGTGAATAAAACGTGGCGAGAGCTCTCTTACAACCAGATTTTCTGGACGAAGCTTCGGATTGGTCCTGGGAGTATGCGTCCAGGAGTGGAACAACTCGCAGCACGGTGCACGAACCTGGTGGAGCTGCATATTGACGACCCTCGCTGCGAGCTGCACGTGCTCCATCCGATCATCATGGCTTGCGGAAGCTCTCTTCGTCGAATTGATATCGATTGTGACCGGGATAACACGAGCCGCAACGAGGCGTCAATATGCAGCGTCCTTTGGATCGTGAGGTGCGTTAAGTTCACCGTTTCGACTAAACTTCAGTATGATGCGATTTCTCGCTCTATTATGTCCTGCTTATGGCTTACGCATTGACCATATTTTTCGTCAGTCAGAACCTCACACACCCTTCGTCTCGTTTTCGTTTGCAGCTTGTACTGCAGCAATGTTGAAAGCGTGGAGCTCATTTCAGACGGAAAGCAAGGGAACTTCACGTATTTGGAGAACAAGGCCATGTGGTACCTCACTTCCGGCTTCCGCCACATCCGCAGCTTCGCCTGCTTGTGCCAGAACAGCCTGTCGAAGCAAGCCATTTACCTCATGGTCATTGCATGGCGGGAATTGACGTGCCTTCGAATTCACTGCGGAGCTCTTGGAACAGACGACCTCATGGCTCTGCGAAAAAGCTACTCTCTGCGAGTGCTGGAGCTGGTTGGTGGTAACCTCGGGAATCTCATCAGCAGCACCAGCGAAGCTGTCATGCATCGAGACCTCGAGATCCTGGTGTTGACGAAGATGGTATGTGGCCTGGAGGACATCGCCAACGTTTCGCTGCTGTGTCCCAATCTGGCGAGGGTTGTTGTGCGAAAGTCCTCGTTACTCGCTGGTGGTTCAATCGACGACCCAGCGGTCCAGGCGAAAGCCATTGAGGATTTGCGAAAGTGGCTACTTGTGCAGCGAAATGTCGAGCTTGTTGTCGACGAGTCTTGAGCCCACATGCAAGACCACTCCTGTCAGCCATGCAACACAGGAGTAGGTGGCTTTGGGAATCGCAGGGAGATGCCGTGGCGAATTGCGCATTGAGGCTTGCTAGCGCGGGTCTACGACAATCGTTTCGGGGTGTATTCTAATTGGTCGCACACGAAGAACGCGAACTCGTGTTTCTCCTTGCATCGCGTATCCCTGACCTTGTCGCACTCTTGTACGGGAGAGTTCCTGCCCTGGACTTGCAGCTGATTGCTGATGGGATGCGACACCGAATCCATTCATTCCGCGTTGTTGCGAAACTTGAGATGTCAATCCCCAACCAAGGAGCGTTCTGCCAATCAGCAAGTGTACCGTCAACTGATCAACCAACAGTCATCGGGCGTTGGGCGAAGTCCTTCCTGCACTGCACGCGAGAGTTCCTGCCCTGGACTAGTTGCTGGTAACTGGCAGTGCAGCGACACCGAATCTTTTCGTTTCCGCGTTGTTGCGAAACCTCAGATGGCAAACCCAGCAAGTGGCAAGCAACCAATCAGCAAGCAGCCCGCCATCTAAGGATGACGAAGCCTGATTCCCAAGGAAACCGTGTTTGACAGCTGAGCCTGATTCTAGAAGCTTTCAAGCCATCTGGTCTGGAGGACAGGGTTGTTGCTTTCTGCTGCCCCTACTCTTGATTGAAATTCAGTAGCTCTGTTGCAAGAACATAATGCCACTCTCGTAAGTGTAGTATGGCAACTATGCTGCAAGTCTTACCTTGGATACGATAGCATGTGCAGCCAATGCGGATTGTGCGTGCACAGCGTCCATTGTTCAATTTGTTATGTTAGGGAGATTCAACGATGCTACGCGAAGCTCGTAGCTTACACCAGACCAACCTCTGAACTTATATGCCAAGTCAATATGCCAACGTCTTTTCCGAGCGGTTCTATCCAAAGGAATGTTGTCGTCGGTAGTGTCACGTCCAGTATCCGTCGTCGTGTTCGCGCGTTCATTTCGTGTTCACCATGTCATGCACCACGTCGCACCTGAATGAGCAATTTCGAAGGGACGTACATCGTCTTGAAACACAAATAATTTCAGTAGATGTAAGAGGATACTGGGAGCACGAAACGGTACCTGCATGAGGGAACGTCCTTGAGAGCCTGAGACAAGCTCCGCCTCGCTGCAAGGGAGAGCAGGTCAAAGAGAACTTCCGCCTTGGACGACGCTTGCATCCCCAGAATCAAAGGCCCAGCTGCATGTTTGCAGTGTCAGTCAGGTAAGAAGCTTAGCTCGGTTGTTTTAACATCGTAACCAGAACTTAAATGGTTGGAAATGGAAAAGAAGCATCAAGCGACATGTGGTAAGTAGGGTATACTCACCATTGAGAGTTGGGAGAGTCGAGCAGACGAATACGAGTTGTGTGGCTTGATTGTTCATGTACGCCAGCAAGGAAGCATTGAGCATGTTCTGTTATGCAGGTAATGCGGAGGATGATGCAGGAAAGAGGAGCTTAGCCTCACCAGCTGTGCGGAATCACAGGTATTATGAGTGATTTACAATCACATTTTGGCCAGGCTATGATTAATAATTTCGTTTATGCTTGCAAGAGATGACAAAAAAGCCATCAGTGGATGTGCAGGTACGACTCATGCTGCAGCGGTATCAAGAAAAAACCTCCATACCTGATGGATGCTTGCTGCACCATACTTATGGAAGCTCACTGCACCATACTTAAAGGAAGTTCATCTTCATCATACCTGATGGATGCTTATTGCAACATACTTGATGGAAGCTCATCTTCAACATACCTGATGGATGCTTACTGCACCATACTTAATGGAAGCTCACTGCACCATACTTAATGGAAGCTCATCTTCATCATACCTTATGGATGCGTACTGCACAGTACTTAATGGAGGCTCATCTTCAACATACCTGATGGATGCTTACTGCACCAGACTTAATGGAGGCTCATCCTCAACATACCTGATCGATGCTTACTGCACCATACTTAATGGAAGCTCATCTTCAACATACCTGATGGATGCTTACTGCACCATACTTAAGGAAGCTCACTGCACCATACTTAAAGAAAGTTCATCTTCATCATACATGATGGATGCTTATTGCAACATATTGATGGAAGCTCATCTTCAACATACCTGATGGATGCTTACTGCACCATACTTAATGGAAGCTCATCTTCAACATACCTGATGGATGCTTACTGCACCATACTTAATGGAAGCTCACCTTCAACATACCTGATGGATGCTTACTGCACCATACTTAATGGAAGCTCACCTTCAACATACCTGATGGATGCTTACTGCACCATACTTAATGGAAGCTCATCTTCAGCATACCTGGTGGATGCTTGCATGCACAAACCTGCTGGATGGCTACCATCACCCCACCTGATGAGTAAAGTATGCATCCAAGCAAATGGTGCAGTATTCCTGCCAGGGTTGATTCGTCCAGGAAATGACAAAACCCTTCAATGGACTTGCAGGCGCAGCTCGTCCTGGGGCATTCTTACCATACCGGATGGATGCCAGATACTTGATATCAACATACCCTAACTGTACCTGATGGATCAGCTCAGCATATAACCAAACGGTGCCTTAAGGTGAATCATTTTGGTTAGGCGAACAGTTTGCTTGCAAAAACATGATAAGACCCTCAAATGGATTTGCAGGTACACCTTGTTCTGCAGTACGCTCCACTCAAGAAAACCCCCCACCATGACTGGCAAGTCGGTACCTTCATTGCACCTGATGGATATCTGCCTTCACCATACCTGACAATCCCTACCTTCGTCAGACAACAAATGGTGTGTGCTGCAAAAGACGATGCAAGAGATGACAACAAAAAAACTCGAAGTCTTGCAGGTACATCTCTTCGAGCAGCACAATCTAATCAAGAATGAAGATCCCCTGTACGTGATGATGCATTCGTTCGCCATACCTGATGGATGCCCTTGAGCGGAATCCCTCTCATTCCAAACTCCACAACTGAAGCCTCACACGCTCTTCCCCGTTGCTCTGTCACTAACTCCTCCCCTCTGTGGTCAGATGCTGACTTGGTTGTGCGGACCTGCATTCATCACAATGAACAGATTCCACGACATCTTGATTTGTTGTGGTTCAATGCCATACCAGCAATCAACTTCGAGATTTAGTACTGGAACATGAAGACATGCAAGCACCCCCTTGTGTGATCTCACTTACATTACATCATCTACACCGATCACCCCCTCCCACTGTTACATGTGAACTTTGAACTGTTTTCCATCACAGTCCCACCACCCCCAGTCTTTCCGCCTCACCATCAATTACCACCCATCATTCACCAACCACCATTCACCACGCATCAATCACCACCCATCTCACCTCAAATCTCTCATCTGCTGTCAGCATCTCCACAAGCCTTGCTGCCTCAGCAGTAGCTGAGCCTTCCCCACATACCGCCTCCCCAGCCACGTTTCTCGAGCCTGTTTCACAAGCCACCTCTGAAACCCCATCCCCTGAACCCTCTCCCGCACCATCCGTCTTTTGATCCTCCGCGAGTGATTCCAGCTCAGACACCAGGCCTGCCAGCTCAGCAGCATCCTGGCCAATGAGCACGAGGCGGCAGGAGGGTGGGCAGTCCCAAGTGTCGATGGCAGTGCAGGAGCAACGGCTGCTGCCACTCAGCTGAAACACAAACCGCAGATGCCTTGGAGGAAGGAAGAGGGGAGGGAGGGGGGAGGATGGAGATGGACGGGCAGCTTTGGAGTGCTACGATGGGTTGGCATGAAGGTAGAAAAGGCAAGAGACAAAGAGGAGCAATGAGCCAAAGAACGACAAGGATGTAGCCCGAGTATGTGGTGAATAAGGCTTCATAACGCCCAAAGCTGGAAAGTTCCGAGCTATATTCCGCAGACAACAGACCCAGAGAAACTACCCCGCACCTGTCGTGACTCCTCACCGCATCTCTTTGAAGTAAAGGAAGCCCTTGGCTCGAAGCAGACCCTGTACCGGAGCACACCCACTGGCCGTACTGCTGGAGGCGGTGCCACCGCTGCTCTTGTTGCTGTTGGCGCCTCTGCCTCGCAGTCTCGTTGCCACGATGTGCTGGAATGCAGCCAGCGGAAGGGGGTGCTGTGACTCAAAAAGGAGTGATGTAAACTGGGTGGAGGCATGACCTGGTGCAGGTGCACCCTGTTGACACCTCCTCGCTCCATGCCTTGCACTTGACTGTTTCCCTTCCTCGTGCATTGAGGGAGTGAGGGGCGAGGGAGTGTGAGGGGTGGGAGTGCGAAAGGAGGGGGCTGCTGTGGCTTCGTGGGAGAGGAAGCCAGAGGAGAGATGAGCAGACGTTGAGGTGAGAGGAGGAGCAGGCTGCGATACAGGAACGGTATCTAGGATTAGATCCAAGGGGACGTGACAGTAACGGGTGCGGACTACAGGGGGAGGTGGCAGGTTGGATGGCCGCCCGGAGGAGGAGGTGGGAGGATGGGAGTGTGTGTGAGAGGAGGTGCAAGCGTGAGTGCTGCTGCCACGTGCGTCGTTGGTATGTGGGTGGCCACGTGGGTGGCTTGAAGAGTCTCCTGTGGTGAGGAATCTCAGGAGCATGTCTTCTGCATCTGAGAGCGCACCCAGCGACACCAGGTCGCACCTGCACATGGCGCACAGGGGCGTGGGACAGAGAGATGCATGGCACAAGGGGCATGGTACAGAGGGGTATGGCGCACACACGGGCATGGGACAGACAGAGGGGCATGGGGAGAGAGGCATGGAACAGAGAGACATGGACAGGCATGTGGAGTAAGCTCAACGATGCAAGGACATCTCAGAGCACCGCGCAGCCTTTGAGCCCATCATCATAGTCATGTCACATGTTCATCCTCCCACCCACACTAATCCTTTCACCCTCATCCTCCCACCCACACTAATCCTTTCACCCTCATCCTCCCACCCACACTAATCCTTTCACCCTCATCCTCCCACCCTTATCCTCTCACCCTCATCCTCCCACAGATTCTGAGCCAGAACAATCAATTCAGCCCCAAACACCCTCCCCCTCTCCCTCGCCCCCACTCCCCCTTTCTTCCTCACTGACACATCGACTCACTTATTCAGCAACACCAGGTCAGCCGCAGCCAGCTGTCGCCGCACTATTGGCTGCTGTTCAAGGAGGGTCGGCAGCGTCTCAGCCTCCACCACTGCCACCACTCTGTCGAGCCGCACCCCGGCTTCCATCAGCTGGGCCGCTATCGGCTGAGGGTCCGCTAGGCCCGACGTCTGGAGGAAAGGAATGGCAGAATTGGGTAAACAAGAGAAGCAAGCCTTTCAAATGACAACATCGCCACCACTGCCACCACTCTATCGAGCCTCACCCCGGCTTCCATCAGCTGGGCAGCTATTGGTTGAGGGTCCGCTAGGCCTGACGTCTGGAGGAACAGAATGGCAGAATCGGGCAGACAAGAGGAGAAGGAAAAGGATTTCACATGACACTATCACCACCATCGCCACCACTGCCACCACTCTATCGAGCCTCACCCCAGCTTCCATCAGCTGAGCGGCAATTGGTTGAGGGTCTGCTAGGCCTGAGGTCTGGAGGAACGGAAGGGCGAAATGGGGCAGGCAATGAGGAAAAAGGAAAGCATTCAAATGAGGACACCATCACCACCATCGGTACCACTAACACCACTACCTCCTGCCTCCCCTACCTCCCCTACCTTCACCGATGAAGGAAGCACACAAATCAGATATACGAGGGCGACCCATGCTGACGTGGAAGTGGGCGAGGAGCTCACCTCCAGAATGAGGTAGTCGCATGCTGACATGGCGCCACCAACTGCTGCTCGCACGGCCTTCTTGAGTCCATCGCTGACGTGGCAACATGCGCAGCCTGCATGTGGGTGCACCGTGCGTAGGTATGTGGGTGAATGGGGATGTGTGGGTGCATGGGGATGTGTGGGTGCATGGGGATGTGTGGACGCATGGAAAACGGGTGCAAGGTGAGTTATTACAGAACACAAGGAGAAGCATACCTCCTCATCACTCTCACTGACTTCTTATCTCCAGTCCTCCCTCCCCTCACCCCCAGAAGATCCCAACCACTTTTTCACTCGCTCCCCTCCATCACTCCCTCATGACTCACTCACCCATTAATTTTACCCTCCCCTTGCCCACACTTCCTTCCTCTTTCACACACTCACCCCCTGCCAGGTCCCCATGTCCGGGGGGCGCCCCGACTGCCACGTTGGCGCGCTGTGATTGGAGCAGCAGGGAGTCCACGTCAACAGGGCTGAATTCGTTCACCAGCACGGCTACACGCAGGTCGCCTTTCTCCTTCAACACGTGCTGGTAGGGGGGCAACGGGAGGCGATAAGGGGCATTAAGTGGTGAGGAAAGGGCGGTGAAGAGGGCAGTAAGCGCAAACATTCTATACAGCCCTCTCTTCAGCCCCCCCCTTTCCAGTCCCCTCCTTTTCCAGCCCCCTCCGGCATAACGATCTCCTTCGCCCCAGCCATCTCCTCTGCCTTTTCCTGACCCATCCTCGTGCACACACTTCTCTTCTCCGTAGAGCAAGTATTGAAGGAGAAGGATGGAAGGCGTGTGTCTAAAAATCCCTATAATTCCCCCTATTCGATTCTGTAGCGAATACAGTAAGCGCAAACATTCTGTACCGGCACGTCCTATACCCGCACTCACCTGCAGCAGAGTGGTCTTGCCGCATCCCAGGAAGCCAGTCACGAGGGTACACGACACCTGCTGCCGCCCAGACACCCCGCTGGCGTCCAGCACGCGTGATTCAAACGAGAGGCTCATCTCGTTACCCTCTAATGCTCGTGACGACGCCGACGAACGCGGCTCTGACGCTCCCTCTGCCGCCGATGCCGCTGCTGGTGCCGCCGCTGTTACTGCTGCTGACGTGGCCGTTGGAGCTGCTGTAGTGGCCTGCTCCGTGGTTTCCGCATGGGGAGCGAGAGGCGGCGGCGGAACGCCTTCCGCCTGTCTGCCTGCGCCGGCGCCAGTCTCCGCGTGACAGCAGGTTGGTTCCCCGCCACCACAGCGATCGTCCTGCCCTGCTACCATCTTCATCGAATCTATGCTCTACGAATCTCGAATTCGGCCTTGCGTTTCCTCGGTAATTCTTTCCCGTCAAATCGCGTATCGTGTAGTTCTGCCGACTACGTGCTTCGACAAACAACCTAGTTCTCCGGCGAAAAAAGAGCCCAGAATTTTGTGGAGGTGGAGTTCAGATTGCAGGCGCGAAATTCTTCAAGGGGCTGCGCTTGTGGTTTCGTATGCGACATAGTTAAACTCAATTTGATTCTCCTCACAGTTTTCCATAAAGCAGGGGAATGTTCGAGTGATATCGGAGCGTTCTTCAACGGAGCAGGGTGGAGTGGATGACATGGCATCAACTCGTGCCGATTTCGACGTGGCGAATTGTGAGAAAGGGTGAACAACGTGGATTACGTGGGTCAGATTCGCAATGCTTCCCCCACACCGTGGATGAACCATTGAATTGAACCGAAATTTCTGTAAGTGATTTCACCTGCCCATGTTTAGGGGCAGTCAATTCTTGTATGGGGTGGGGTTGCTTGCATTTCTGCCCACTCAGGCTTCTTGGGATTGGTCGGTTGTGCGCCTTGGTCCGCACCGCACAAGGCACGCTCGAAATTCCAGCGAGGCGCAGAACCATGCTTGCTGGTTGTGAGGAATCGCAATTGCTCTCGCAAACGTCGCCAGCACAACGTCGCCGACCCTCGTGAGCCAACCCTTCCCGTTCGTCTGGAAATCTTCCACGCACATGTGGAACTCCCTGCGTCGCATGCTCCTAACCCTTCGCCTGCCTCAAATCTCCCCTCGTTTGAACGCGTGCGACAGCTGGTTTTATCTCGCCGCCACTACATTGCAATTTGACCCCCAACCCCATTTCGTTTACAGGCGCAAATTCTAGAGCACTTGCCCCTCTCCCAGCGTTCCCATTCCGTCCACCCCTTCTCGTCCACATGCACTCGCCAACCACATCCACATTTTTTGCGTCCTTCCCCCCCATCCCCATCCACCATCCAGCTGCCACAGGCCAACTCAAAACACACAATTTGGATTCGCACACCCCTAATTGGGGATAAGCTTGATCAGTCCACTCTTGGTCTGCTGATCTGAGGCTTATTTCCGTCGCTGTGTAAAGACGAGACAGCCTCGGTTGGAGTAAGCTCCGCCATACTCCCAACCCAAGCCTTCACATTGTTCCGACTTGGCTCCGTCTCACGCTACCTCTCTCCATTTCGCGCGATCTGGAGCAGCGGAAACCTTGAGACACGGAGGATTAGGAGCCTGTCGGAACGTTCGTCCCTTGCGAAAGGACGGACCTGCGCCGTTGATTTGAGACGTCTCGAATCAGCGCCTGCCTCGCTGCGATCGTCGTAGATCCGCTGCGGGCAAAACCTCTGTGCCGTCGTGCGCGACAGTCGTTCAAAAGTAGTCGCAATGGCGACTCAGCCTGGACCGCTCTACGAGTTCCCGTGGCACTCACTCGGCGGATACAAGGTGCGTCCTCCACTCAACTTCCCTCTAATCTTCCACCTTCGGCTAGATTTCAGCAAATAATTCGCAACCGCGTGCATGTATTATCGATGCGTTCGTTTATTAACGCATTGCCCACAAAAGCGCTCAATGGCATCCGCGTGCCGCGATTTCATGAATGCAACGAGGTGATGACGCTCGCTGCTATTCTCGTTTTGCGTACCGGGGATCCTGTGGTACGTCCATTCCCCTTATTCCCCTCACCTCCTGTCTGACCACAATTCCCCACAATACCTTGCTTTTCCTCTCCGCAGTATCTGGTGCTCGCTCCGCTGGTGGCTCGAGCCATCGACGCTAATTGTCACGGCAGGAAGGACCCGGACAACTTCAGCCTGCATCTGCTGATTTGCGTCGGCGCTGACTGGAGCAGCATTGCCCAGCCCTCTCTTCAAGTTAAACCACGCACGTAAACCACTCACGTTTCCCCCATTTCTTCTTCCCGCAAACCCCTTCCACGCAGTATCTGGTGCTCGCGCCGCTGGTAGCTCGAGCCATCGACGCTAATTTTCACGGCGGGAAGGACCCGGACAACTTCAGCCTGCATCTGCTGATCGCGTCCGCGCTGCGGGTGCTGGTGGGCATGGCGTGGATGACTATATCGCGCTGGCCGCACCTCGTTCCGCGATATAAGATCCAGCGGAAGGGCGTGAATTTCAAGCAAATGGACCGGGAAGAAAACTGGTGAGTTTTGCTTTTCCTTTCCTTTTTCTGTTCCCTTTGTTTAGTGGTTGCAATAATCCCGTTACGGAATGCAGCGGACGCTGTCACTTCTAAGGGGATGAATTGGAAAAACAGTTGTTTATACCATCGTTGTAGCCTCTCGCTTCTTTCTTGGCCCTGGTATTCACCTAGCGGAAAGACTTGGTGCAAGTAGGAGATGAGGCTAAAAGGGCGCGTGCAAGGCTCATCGGCATTCGTTTCCGGCGCTGAACGCGCGGTAGGCGCATCGCAGTGCGCATTACGAGATGAGACTTGAGCGCCGCATCAGGCGCCTTCTTTAATAGCCATAGGCGTCTCGTAGAAAAGCTCCCTGGCGCCATAGGACATTCTTACCCCCATAAGAAGGCATTAGGCGCTTCATAAGACGGCATTTAGTTGCCTCATAGGAGGGGATTTCAGCGGCTCATTTAACGAAATTAGGTACTCGATCGACGTGAAATGAGACGAGTTTCTAGACGCCTCGAAACACAGACTTGGAAAAATGCAGGCGTCGCATGAAATGATATATCCGAGCCTCATAGAAGGAAATGGAGGCCTTCACGTGGTACGAAAAGGAACAGAAGTCGTAAAGTCGATCCGCCCGGCATCCCTCACGTGGCTTCTAGTGGCGATCGAGGAGTGGGGAATGAAGGGGTTTTTTCTCTGTTAAGGAGATGCCGACAACCTCTCACGCTGATTCCTCACTCCCCATTCATCCATCCTCATTCCTAACCCGCGGGCCTTGAGAAACGACTGCATATTCTCAACGCCCATGCCTCGCTCTCCCTCTGCCACATGCCCTTCCCCGCCTTTTCCCAAAACCCCCACCTTCTCCGCCCTTACCTTTACCCGTACCAGGCCAAATCTCAACCCCTCATACCCCCTCACCAATCCATCCTCCTCTTCGCCTTTCCTTCCCCAGGGACGACTACATTATTCTGAACGCGCTACTCGGATTCGCGTTCCACGAGTGGGTGCCGCGCTTCCAGCACTTCGCCCTCACCAACCACGCCCCTCCGCCCTCCCCTCCCCTTCCTTCCCCTCCCTTCCCACAGGGACGACTACATCATCCTCAACGCCCTACTCGGATTCACCTTCCACGAGTGGGTGCCACTTTTCCAGAACTTCGCGCCCTGCACGGCGTCAGGGCTGCTCATCACGCTGCTCATGCACGTGGGGCCCGCCGAGTTCCTCTACTACTGGCTGCACCGCGCGCTCTCTGTCCTCCCCCTCCCCCTTACCACCTGCTCTCCACCTCCCCCGCCCCATCATCTCCCCTCTCTTTCCCCCACTTCCCCCCTCTCCCCCCTCCCGCCCCTCCCCGTCCCCCTCCCCCCAAACAACCACAGGGACGACTATATCATTCTCAACGCCCTACTCGGATTCATGTTCCACGAGTGGGTGCCGCTCTTCCAGAACTTCGCCCCTTGCACCTCGTCGGGGCTGCTCATCACGCTGCTCATGCACGTGGGGCCCGCCGAGTTCCTCTACTACTGGCTGCACCGCGCGCTGCACCACCACTCGCTCTACTCCAAGTACCACAGCCACCACCACGCCTCGTTTCTCACGGAGCCCGTTACAGGTGTGTGACTCGTTATGCGTATAGGGCTCGTTATAGGCACTGCGAGTTCCTCTACTACTGGCTGCACCGCGCGCTGCACCACCACACGCTCTACTCCAAGTACCACAGCCACCACCACGCGTCTTTCCTCACCGAGCCCGTTACAGGTGCGTGATTCGTTATGTGTATAAGAGTCGTCGTAATAAGCGATTAGAGTTCTTGTACTACTGGCTGCACTGTGCGCTGCTCCACCACTCGCTCTACAGCAAGTACCACAGCCACCACCACGCGTCCTTCCTCACCAAACCCGTTACAGGTGCGAGATTCGCTATGGGGGAAATTCGAGAAGGGGAATGAATCCAAATTAAGCGTGTGCAGGATTGCCTATACAAGTCAACTCAGCTGTTTTGAACACAATGATAACTAACTACAACACCCCTCCTTCCCTGCGTCCCCTCCCCCCTCTCTCCCTCCCCTCGCTTGTCCTACCCTCGTTACGATCACACCCCGCCGTTCAACCCTGCAGCGACCGTGCATCCGTTCATGGAGCATCTCATGTACGCGGCTGTCTTCGTGGTGCCCTTCTATGCCTCGTGCCTGCTGGGGTGTGCGTCCGTGGAGCATTCCCCTTCCCTCTCTCTCCCCCCCCTCTCTCACCCCACCCCCGTTGCACCTTGCGTTGCAAACTCCTGCCTCCCTGCATCCCCGTGAAAACCACACTCACACCCCTCCATTCACCCCTGCATTCCTCCCCCAGCAACGGTACACCCGTTCATGGAGCATCTCATGTACGCAGCAGTCTTCGTGGTGCCCTTCTACGCCTCGTGCCTGCCTTGTCCCACTCCCCCTTCAATCCCACCGGTCCTTCCATCTCACACCCACCACCTCTGCAGCAACCGTGCATCCGTTCATGGAGCATCTGATGTACGCGGCGGTGTTCGTGGTGCCCTTCTACGCCTCGTGCCTGCTGGGCTGTGCGTCCGTGGGGGGCGTGTACGCCTACATGCTCGCCTTCGACGTGCTCAACTTCATGGGCCACTGCAACTTCGAATTCTTCCCGGTTGCGCTCTTTCGTGCGCTGCCCTTCCTCAAATACCTCATCTACACGCCTTCGTAAGTGCCCGCTCTACCTTGTATGCCTCGTGCCCGCTCTGCATTCTACGCCTCGTGCCTGCTCTTCTGGGGTGTGCGTCCGTGGGCGGTGTGTACGCCTACATGCTCGCCTTCGATGCGCTCAACTTCATGGGCCACTGCAACTTCGAGCTCTTCCCCGTCTCCCTCTTCCGGGCTCTACCCTTTCTCAAATACCTCATCTACACGCCCTCGTAAGTCCCTGCCCGCCCTCCCTTCTATGCCTCGTGCCTGCTGGGGTGTGCGTCCGTGGGCGGCGTGTATGCGTACATGCTCGCCTTTGACGTGCTCAACTTCATGGGCCACTGCAACTTCGAGCTCTTCCCTGTCTCCCTCTTCCGCGCTCTGCCCTTCCTCAAATACCTCATCTACACGCCCTCGTGAGTTCCCGCCCCCCACACACCCCACCCTTCTTCCACCCACACACCCACCCACAACCCCCCGCCCCACTCTCCTTCCACTCACACACACACCCACACCCCCTCCCTCCCTCCCTCCCCCCCACACATACTCTGCCCGTCCTCAGATACCTCATCTACACGCCGTTGTAAGCCCCCATCCCATACACCCACCCCCACCCCCCTTTCCCCGCACACATAAGCCCCCACCCCCCCATGCCTCCCTTGCCATGCCCCTTTCCCCGCCCCCCTCCCCCTCCCCATCCAGCTTCCACTCACTGCACCACACGCAGGTGCACACCAACTTCTCGCTCTTCATGCCCATCTACGACTACCTCGGCGGCACCTGGGACCCCAACTCCGACGCTCTGCACGAAGCTTCCAGGAAACGTACGTTCCACAGCCTTGTCCCTTCGCCCCCTCGTCCTCCCGGCGTTTGTTTCTGTCATTTCAGGTTCTCCCACTTTTACCAGTACCCCAGTCGTCCCAACTTCCCCTCCTCCTGTCCCCTTGTGCCCCCGGCCCTCCCCCTGTTCCTCCCCTCTCCCTGCACCACTCCATCACAGCACGAAAGGAGCAGGCAAACTTTGTCTTCCTAGCGCACGGCATGACCATCCCATCAGTGCTCCACATGCCATTCTTCCTTCCCTACTTCGCCTCCAAGCCATTCGCCATAACAGCGCAGCAAATCCTCCTCCTCCCGCTCTCTGTCACCCTCTGCCTGCTCTACTGGGCCTTTGCGGCTGCCTTCCCCCGCTCCTACACCTACCTCCGCGGCAAGAGGCTCGAGTCCTGGGGCATTCCCCGGCTCGGATTCCACGTAAGTTGGTTGGGATGGGATGGAATGGGGTTCCAGAGCGGTGCAGAGCGGTGATCCTCCTCCTCTTCCAAGAGGCTCGAGTCCTGGGGCATCCCCAGGCTCGGATTCCACGTGAGTTAATTGGGATGGGATGGTTTCCGTAGCGGTTCAGAGCGGTGCTGGGTGGTGAGCCTCCTCCTCCCCCTCTCCATCACCCTCTGCCTGCTATACTGGGCCTTTGCTGCTGCCTTCCCCCGCTCCTACACGTACCTCCGCAGCAAGAGGCTCGAGTCCTGGGGCATTCCCCGGCTCGGATTCCACGTAAGTTGGTTGGGGTGGGATGGGGTTCAGGGTGGTTCAGAGCGGTGACACCCCTCCTCCCCCAAGAGGCTCGAGTCCTGGGGCATCCCCAGGCTCGGATTCCAATTGAGTTGGTTTGGGTGGGGTGGGTTTGAGAGCGGTGCAGAGTGGTGATCCTCCTCTTCTCCCAAGAGGCTCGAGTCCTGGGGCATCGCCAGGCCCGGTTTTCAGATGAGTTGAATGGGATGGGTAATAAGAGTGGTGCAGAGCAGTCGCGATCTTCCTTGCCCCCCTCACCACGTTCCACCCACGGGTGTTCGCTGTTGACATGCCGCACCATTTTTTCTCCCCCCATCGCTCCCCTACCTGCCTCCTTGCTCAACCTCCCCCCTCCCTACTTTCCCCCTTCTCCCTCCCAACCCTCCATCCCTCCCATTTCTCCCATCCTTCCCATCCTTGCCCCCATCCCGCAGTACTTCCTGTGGTTCGAGCAGAAGCAGATCAACCGGCTGATCGAAGGGGCGATTCTCAAGGCGGACAAGCAGGGCGTGCAGGTGTTTACTCTGGGCGCACTCAACAAGGTGAGACGGCGGGAGTGTGGAGGTTTATGGGCCTGTAACCATGACCCCCCACGCTATTCTTGAGGCGCCTCAAGGCGGACAGGCAGGGCGTGCAGGTGTTCACTCTGGGCGCACTCAACAAGGTGAGTTGAAGAAAACCCCAAGGGCCGCACCCCAAGAAAACCCCAATTTTATCCTCTCAGTTAAATGTGGTGTGCAGCAGCACGGTCACAGCAGCAGTTGTCACTTTATTCCGCTTCTCAAACCTATGCCACAAATTTCTATTGTTGCAGCAAAAGTCGTTGCCTCCTCGAACTTATGCCCCGTCATCCGCTCCACCCACCCACCACAGAACGAGGCACTGAACGGGGGTGGAACGGCGTTCCTCAAGAGCCACCCGAACCTGAAGCTGCGCCTCGTGCACGGCAACACGCTCACAGCAGCCGTCATCCTGCAGGAGATCTCCCCCGACGCCAAGGAGGTGTTCCTCGCCGGTGCCACCTCGAAGCTGGGTCGTGCGATCGCTATCTACCTCGCCTCCAAGGGCACCAGAGTGCTGGTGAGTGGGTGGGTGAGTGGGTGAGTGCGGTGGCGGTTGCAGGGGCGTCATCCTGCAGGAGATCTCCCCCGACGCCCACGAGGTGTTCCTGGCAGGCGCCACCTCCAAGCTGGGCCGTGCCATTGCTATTTATCTCGCTTCCAAGGGCACCAGAGTGCTGGTGCGTATCTGTATTGCTTCTAGACAAGCACCCACTGGTGCTAATGACAAGCTGCAAACAGCATCCCACCCCACCCCACCCCACACGCCCCTCCCCTCCCCAACCTGCACGCCCCTCCCACAGATGATCACGACTTCCAAGGAGCGGTTCGAGTGCATCCGCTCTGAAGCACCGGCAGACAAATAGCACCTCCTGGTGCAAGTCACCGACTGCCAGCAAGCGTCGCACTGCCGCAAGTGGATCGTGGCCAACTTCCTCGTCTTCCTCTTTTCCTCCACTCTTCCCCCCTCAACCCTCTTCCCCACCCACACACTCCTCCCTACAGATGCTCACGACCTCCAAGGAGCGGTTCAAGTCCATCCGCTCTGAGGCACCGGCAGACAAGCAGCACCTGCTAGTTCAAGTGACAGACTGCCAGCAGGCCTTGGTTTAGAACCATCCACCCCATCCCGCACTCTCTCCCCACAGATGCTCACGACTTCCAAGGAACGGTTCGAGTCTATTCGCTCTGAGGCACCAGCAGACAAGCAGCACCTGCTGGTGCAATTCACGGACTGCCAGCAGGCGTCGCACTGCCGCGAGTGGATCGTGGGCAAGTGGCTGACAGCCAAGCAGCAGAGCCACGCCCCCAAGGGCACCTTCTTCCACCAGTTCATCTCCCCCCTCTCCTCCACTCTCCTCCCCCCCACTCCACCTCCCCCTCCCACTCCCCTTCACTCCCCGTCCACCCCACTCCCCGGCCCGCAGATGCTAACGACCTCCAAGGAACGGTTCGAGTCCATTCAAGCAGAGGCACCGGCAGACAAGCAGCACCTGCTGGTCCAAGTGACCGACTGCCAGCAGGCGTCGCACTGCCGCGAGTGGATTGTGGGCAAGTGGCTGACGGCCAAGCAGCAGAGCCACGCCCCCAAGGGCACCTTCTTCCACCAGTTCGTTGTTCCTCCGCTGGACGAGGTGCGGGGCGACTGTGTGTACGGCAAGCTGGCGGCGATGCGACTCCCCAAAGACATTGAAGGGCTCAACACATGCGAGGTGAGGGGGTGGGAGGAGGGGGGGGTGGGAAAGAACGGGGGATACCGCGGGCAATGACTAATTATTGGCTGGGGAAACGTTGGGGGTAAATGTGCAACAGGCGATTAGCAATTAGAAGGCCAGGAGGTTTGCAGTGACTGTCCCAGCGCCTCTGCGACAGTGTGGCTATTCAAATGCGTCTATGTTAAGACTTTCATGGGCCTTGCCTCTGCTGCCTTGCCTCTGCTTCCACCCTGTGCCCTCCATTCGTCCCTCCCTCCACCACGCGACATCCGACGCCCTTGCCTCCACTTCTGCTGTACTTGCCACCCAACTCCCCTTCTCATCCATGCTCATTCTCCCTGCCTACCCTCCTCTCCCGTCCCCTTGCCCTCCCTCCCTCTCCCCCTACCCTCATATTCACCCAGCTTCAATTGGAGCGGGGAGTGGTGCATGCATGTCACGCGGGGGGGCTGGTGCACATGCTAGAGGGGTGGCAGCACCATGAGGTGGGGGCCATAGATGTGGCTCGCATTGACGTCACATGGCAGGCCGCCATGCGCCAAGGCTTCTCCAGAGTATAGGCCACTGCAGCTGCAGAATATGCTACTTTTTTTTCTAAGTCGCACAAAAAGTTTGTTGTTGGGCTGGTTCTGGTCTGGACCATGCAATATGCAAATGGGATGTGCACTTGCCCTGAACACTGAGCTATTTTACCATGTGCAGTTCCACTCATCCAGTTTTCATCATTGTTGGAGATATCCTATTTCCAACAACCATGATGTTTCACAATGATGGCACTTGAAGATACGCACCGTAGGTTGAAGTGTATGCTGCACCATGTTCCTGTTTAATGACACTGGAGTCTCAACTCAAGGACTGGCGTGCAGCTGGATATTGGTATCAACCATATATTGCAAACATTATAATACTTAGTACTTCACAATCTACTGTGTTGTACGATTGCGATCTGAAATCTTATGACGACTGGTCTGCAGACTCTTTGAAGAGTCTTGTGTTAATCAAGAAGTTCAATCGTATACGACAACACACGTTTATCCTATTTTGAATTCGATTGTCCTCAACAATTATGTAAATATCTTGCACGACTAGTGATTGTGATTTATAAGTATACATCAATCAATAAACCCTGTGAATAATATTGAAATAGTAATGCATGGAGTAGTGTAGTTCCATGAACAGATTTCATATTGTCATGGACATCCAACTAAGTTAATATTGTAGATGGAAAGTTAAATAATGAAGATTGAGGTAACCATAATAATATTTCCGCTACATATTTCTGTTTGTACCTGCAATGCCTTGTGCATATTGTGCAAAAGAAACAGTGACGAAGCGAGATTCGGCCCTGCCAGCACACACTCATGGGGCGGCAATGTGTAGATCCCTAGAAGTGTTGTTCGTACAGCTTTCAACTGCCAGTAACGTATCCCAGATTCGAGGCTAGTTCCAGTGATCCCCAGCGTCACGCTGGTACAACATTATAGATATTCCCAGCGATTATTGTCTCTCATACTTGTCATCTGTTTCTGTAAACTCATCCAGAGAGCGCCGAATTTTCTGGGGGACGAGGGTTTACGCAGAAATTCTGTTTGTTTGCTGACAGTAATGACCACCCGAAGAACAGACCAATCTAGTCCTTTCCTGCCCGACTGTCTGCTATGTTCACAGTGGCTATCCATTTCGTAATTGCGACCAGAACCATACCAGGTACGATTCTATATTTGGTCGACGTCATGCAACCGACCAAGAGCAATCGTTAAAGTGGCGCGTGCGCCTGCATTGGAAGTGAGTGCTCCTTCCTGGAGTCCGCGGTTGTCCTCCTGCCGCTGGTTGCATGCCACGTCGAATACATGCCTGATGCCGATCTGTTTACCGGTGGTTGAAAGTGGACAAACGCCGCCTGTAAACATTCGTTCCAGAATCAGGGTGATACGCATTTCGTTTCCTTCTGAAGAGGAGTCGTCCAAGGAGAGACGGAACTTTCATTTAGGGTGATTGCTTGGTAAGCGCCACGCTCTTTAGCTTCTGAATGGGAAATATATGCTAATTGACAGCACTTGACGTATTGTTTTCCTTGCCCACATGTGCATCTGATAGGGAAACCAGGGAGGCCAAACCGGCAAGTGATTCGCGCGGGTGCACACGCACGGTTGCTGCAATGTGGATCTGCTAACGCTAATAAGACAAACTGGCGGTTGTCGCGAACTGATTTAGATCACCCACTGTTTTCCTTGGAATGCAGGATTTTGAGGAGCAATGTAGAGCACTGTAAGAAATCAGAATATAGAGCTTAAAATATGTGTGTTTTGCACTTACTCTATATTTAGGTTTCGCAAGCAAAAAAAAGAGTTGCTTGTTCATGTTTCCAAACGCTCGATGTTTTTTGTATCTGCCCATAATAAATATCTCCAGAGTCGCATCTGCCAGGGATAGTGTTGCATTGCGGATTCCTCCCGCAGAATCGCCACCGAGCTGATCTTATCGCGCGTGGGAGCAGCCAACAACGCTGCTCATTCTTC